TACTTCATAGTCATTTTATAATAAATCCAAAAGCAAGACGTGAGAAAAACTAGGGAGTTGAAATGGCAACTGAGCTAATGGGTGATCCCCTGCTGCCATCTACTGGACATCTACTGGTGGGAATCTTTAGTCACCTCACGATCCGAATCGATTCCGATTCTGGGAGTCACGATCCAATTCCAGAATGATTCTTGATCTACTTTTTCCCCCTTATTAATTAATTAGTTTACCGCCTCGAGAATCTTAAAATCCTTACATTAACATATCCTTACATAAGTAATTAAGTACTTTTTAAAATAATTACAACAACAAATGAACAAAAATAATTAAATTTTATGAACAAAATAATTAAAACAGTTCTATGTTAAGAATTTTAAACAAATATAACTTCAAAACATACAAGCAAGTAGCAATGATCATGGAGCTCAACTAGAGTGACCATCAGCTTCTTGTTCACCACTCTAACCAAAGCCCTTCTCCATCAATTGCTCAGTTTGGCCAGGAGGCCAGCTCTAGGAAGAGTCCTGGTTGTTTCAAACTTCTTCCATTAAGGGTAACAGAGACTACATGCTTCTATGACCCTTAAATGAAGCAGAATTTTTTTCTGATCTCTTCCCCAGATGTGTGGCTTGATGCAAACCTGTTTCTGACCTCTACAGGCAGTACTTTTGACATCAGGGCTTGGTTTTTGCTCTGATATGCATTATCAGCTGTTAGACCTTTTATTAAGACGTGTGTGCCTTTCCAAATCATACCCATTCGATTGAATTTGCCACAGGTTAACTTCACTCGAAGTGTAGCAACATATACAAGCAATATGTATGTTCCTGAGCTAAATTTCAACTGTCCCAGATAAGGGTATGAGTACTTATGCAGTAGAATCATTTATTTTTTTATTTTTAATAAATTTGCAAAGATGTTAAAAAACTTTTTTTTTTTGCTTTACCATTATGATGTATGGAGTGTAGATTGATGTGGAGAAAAAGTCATTTAAAGCAGTTTAACATAAGGCAGCAACATAACAAAATGTGAAAAAAATAAAGGGGTACGAATACTTTCGCAAGGCACTGTAAACATATTACAAACAACAAACAAAGAGTGCTTCCAGTATTTAAGATTATCTGAACGTTTTTCATTCAAGAACTGTGAGTGATTTTTCTTCATCTTTACTGTTGTTTTTTACTATGACATCATAGACAGCGGGACATCTATTAAGCTGCATTCACGCACG